GTGTAAGCCATAGGAGACCACTAATCTTTGTTTCAGAGTCTTTTCATCCCATAGGTCAAATGGATAACAGAAGGCAATTAAATGGAATAGGTCTGCTTTCTGTGACAAGCCTGCAATGACCTCAGGGCATGTAGTGGCAGTAGTTCAACTGAAATCATCCATCCTCCAAAATCAACACTGAAAAAAAGAAAAAAATGCACTTGTAATGCTCATTACTTTCATGGTTATGCAGCCTTAGAGCAGGTTGCTATACACGACTCAGCAAAAGGTACTGGATAGTAGGCTTTATTTGGTCAAAATCACCTAGTTTTGGAGATGCTTGGAAGTCTGTGTCAGAATCTATGAAAGCCTTTTAAGCATCTCCTGATGTGAAGCGAACTTTGCAGCTGTTGAACATACCTTTCAAACCTACAAAGGCTGGAAAATTGCCCAGCTGTAACTACTAGAAGACCACCAGGTTGTAGCAATGAAACTTGCCTGGTCTGTATCAGAAATAAGCTCTTTGTGCTCCAGCAGCTCACACTAGTCATCCAGATGGATGACCCCAGCACAGGGTGCAAGATGAAGTTCTTTTAACTCACTGAGATGCCCTGTCAGAGAGAAAACCTCCAAGTCTGTCAGAGAGGACCTTTTAACATTTCTTCTTGAATATTGTGCTGCAAAAAATGCTGAGAAATTACGCGAGGTAACTATCATTCTCCTTTTTTCCTGTGTGAGAGAATTAAGGCTCCTGCTAGAGACAGACTACTACTATGAAAATCTAGAAAGAAATTCAGGAGGCTTCTATGCAGATGGAAAGTCTCCTGTATGCTTGCAGGATTAATGTACTTTAATGTTCTAAAGTGATGTTTTTCCTGCTAAAGTGAAAAGCGATTGGCTGAAGACTGCAAGCACAAATGTGCTGAGTTTACAGTGTCCTTTAGGAAAGAAATGAACAACATCCTGGGCTCAGAACAAAGCACAGCACCTTAGTTGTGTTTCATCCCATCTCTAACTTTGTGCTTCATTAAACAGCGAGGAGCTCCCAAGGTGACTCAGTCGCTCCTGAAATGTTTCTAACAGATCTGAAAGATGGCGGGTACTTTAGAAACAAAATTACCTTTTTCTCACAGAAAATAGTCTTAACCATTCCTTGCTCTGTGTTTGAAGTGTATAAAATGTAGTCTATTTGGTCCTGAACAAAGTGAAAAAAATAACAAGCAAAACCACATTGTAACCCCCCTTGTAACTTCCAAGGATAATATAAAGGGAAAGATAAAGAAGAGGACACATTCTCGCTTATATTCTGTTTAATTTTCTTTCAATTGAGTGTTACTCAATTCAACACAGTAGGATCTTCTCCTACTGAATTCATAGTATGGTTTAGGTTTGAAGGGACCTTAAAGATCATATAGTTCCAACCCCCCTGCCATGGGCAGGGACACCTTCCACCAGACCAGGTTGCTCAAAGCCTCATCCAGCCTGGCCTTGAGGACAGCCAGGGATGGGGCATCCACAACATCTCTGGGCAACCTGTTCCAGTGCCTCACCACCCTCTCCGTGAAGAACTTCTTCCTGAGATCTAACCTAACCTCCCCACTTTCAATTTGTCCCCGTTACCCCTTGTCCTGTCACTACAGGCCCTTGTAAAAAGTCCTCCCCATCTTCCTTGCAGCCCCATCAGGTACAGGAAGGCTGTAATAAAGTCTCCCTGGAGCCTTCTCTTCTCCAGGCTGAACAAGCCCAACTCTCACAGCCTTTCATCATAGCAGAGGTGCTCCAGCCTTCTCATCATCTTCGTGGCCTCCTCTGGACTCGCTCCAACCGGGAGCGAGTTCTTTACTTGGGGTATTCCTTACCTTTGATCACCAGATGTTCATGTTAACCTAAGTGTTCCATTTACCACCAGTCCACATGGCTGCAGCCGTGTCAACACTAGCCTGGCTCTGCTCCAGGAAGCTTTAATTTGTTCAAACGTACTTCTAGCTATTGGTAAACCTTTCGCTCAGCCACACGTTGTAACTCTTAAATCAGCTATTCTTTATTGTGTATGCCTTGAATCTCATGTTACACTTCAGAACTCTGAGCCAAAGACAAGTAAATAACTTGGGAACCGGAGATGGGGAGAGGGGGAGCAAGAAGTCATAGCTGTGTAAAATACTTGAAAGGCCTCATTAGATATCGGTTGTCGCTGTCAACTAATCTGTTTGACTCTGTGGTACTTTGAGAGATTGAAGTTGACAGAACAATATCTACCACCAGTTCATGTGACAAAGAGGTGCTTAATTTTTTTGATCTAGAGGTGTTGACTTGCTTTCATGGATCTGACACCTCCCTTTCACATGTGCCCCCCAGCTGTTCCTGTGTCTCGGATCTGTTTTACCCGTTGCTGTGGTTAGAGGGCTAATGTGTGAATTCAGCTGAGAACATGTAGTGTCTTCCTTGCCCATCAAAATGGCATCACAGAGAACACCCTAGGCAGAGGTAAAGTGGTGCTGTTTGTTGGTGTTTTCAATGGTACCATTTCAGAGACATCAGCTTAAAAAACCTTCTTCAATCCAGAATTTCAAGTGATGCAATTTTTTTTTTTAAGTGTAAGCTGGTATCCTGCCTTAGGTCTTTTGCTTTACACTGCATCATCACAAATGGCAGCAGCAAAAGGTATTTGTGGCAGAGCCTGCAGCTGTTCCTCTGGAAAAACAGTGGTTTGTATAGCCTTTCCATTACTGCATAGCCATTTTAAAAAGGAAAATGTTCTTTTCTAGTGTTGGTCTTTTTTTTTTTTTTTCTTTTGATCTTTAGAGCCTGGTACAAAAATTCCTAAGATCTGGATTTTTGAAAGATGGGATGTAATCCGGACATGAGACTAGGATGCTGCTACTCTTTCTAACTTGGTTTCCCAAGCTGCCTGACACATATCAACTACTGAGCCTGCCTCACCTCTTCTATTATAAAATGTTGATATTATTTATGAACTTCAAAAGGAGTGGTTAATTAACAACAGCTTGTAGAGTGATTTCAAGATGGAAAAACATGGCAATTACTGCAAACAGTAATGGCACTGCAGGCTAATTTTCATTGATGATAATGTTGATTAACAAATTTACAGCTCTAATAAACACTGTTACTGCTTTTGAGTGCAAGAACAGGTGAAGAGTTGCCATGAGAACTGATGCAGCTGAGTGTGCTGCAGTTCAGCACTACTGACGTCTTTTTATTATTATGATAATTGTATTCATTGATTACTGGGAGTAGATTTACCAAAGTAAGGGACTGTCACTCCCTATTAACTCTGCCTGATGGTGTGCATGCTGTGTGTGACCTCAGAGGAGCAAGCACAGTCTCACTCCCCCTTCTCCTTCTCCCAGCCAACTTGTGATGATGGGTTCTCTCCCAGGTGGATGCTAACACAAAACCAAGAGGTGTGAAAGGCACTGTACAAACAGGATGCTTTAGAGCGTGAGGAATAATTTATGAGCATTGACCTTTTTTTTAGTTCTTGATGCTATTCACTAACATCCTGAATTTATTTGACCTCTTCACTAAGAGATGGCAGGTTTCTTTTTTTTTTTTGTTGGTTTGTATGTTTGTTTGGTTTTGGTGTGGGTTTTTTTGGTTGGGTTTTTTTGTGGGTTTTGGGGTTTGGGTGTTGTTTTTTTTTGTTTTGGGGTTTTATTAAATGTTGAGGCATTTTGCAATGACTTAGTGCAATGCTAAGGATCTTCTGCCCAGTAGTCTGAGAATTTTGGGACACTTTTGGTTTTCATCTGTCCCTACTTTTTTTTTCTGTTATAGCCAGCTCCAGTAAATGGTCCATGGGGTAGTGATGAATGAATGTCAAAACAACCTTTGCTATTTCCCTAAAACACCTAAAGCTGTCATTTAAGAGGTGTATAGGTACAAGCCTCGTCTTATTCTTTTCAAACTCTGTCTTGTGAGTTAATACCGTAGTGGTTACTTGTTCCCTTAGCAACACAATTAAAACCATATTTGAAAAAAGAAAAGACACTCTTACTTTATCTTAAGTAATAAGCTGAACAGCCCTTCTCTGCTGCCATGTTCTTATTTTCAGTGAAATATTTGCTTTCTTTTAAATGAGAAGATTATGTTTTGTGCGTTTCCCTTTTCTCAACATCATGGTCATTTTAATTAAAGCAATTGCTGAAAAATGTGCACCTTTGACATGATTTGGCTTTCAGCTAATTCAGCTGAGAAGAGTTGAGCTGTCATTGTTGTCATTTGCATGGTTCTGTTAAAGCTGTCACGTAGCTGTGGCCTAATGTAAAAGGTGCATATGTTACAGGAAGCTTGGTCTGGAAGCACGGTTCTGCCTCCTATCAGGTGTGTGCTGTAGCCATCAAAGTAGGACAACCTGTCTCTCTCAATTATCTGCCTCCCTAGGCAGCATTGATAAGGGGGTAGCTTGGATTGCTGTCATGGGCTTCACTGGGTTTTGTGTGACTTGGATCCCACTCATGGTCAACAGATAAGTATCCTGCTGTTTGAAGATCTAGGCCCTGAGATCTGGACTCCAGAACCTGACAGTGCTGGGTTGTTCCTGAACAGTACCAAGGTATAGGGAAACAGGGCTTGGCTCTGTAACTCCATTGTCTTTTTACCAATGTGAGGATAAACCCAAAAAAGATCTCTAATGCCATATGTGCACTGTGGAGGGACTGTATATCTTTAAATAATTCTGGTTTTGCCTGAACACCAAAGCCGTGTGATCAAACTTCACACTCAGGGAATTACTTGTTGCTGCAAGTGGGTAGCTTAGTTTTCTTGCATAGTCAGTGAAAAAACAGACCCTTTGGGAGAGCAGTTCAGAACCAGTATTTCTCTTAGTACTCCAAGACTGGTCTCTCTCCACTGCCTAAAGACAAAGACTAAGAATACTATTTTGCTAATATATGCTCTTCAGTTAGGTAACTAAAACAGTGTGTCTTTACAAGGCAGGTATGGATAAATTAGCACTTGATTTAGCAGATCTGCTCCCTGTCCATATTCAGAAGCAAGTCGTAATGGGAGTTTACCGTCTTATTCCTTTTATCCCTGCAGAGCCAAGTAGGCAGACAGTAGACTGCTTTGTCTCTGTACCATCAACAAACAGGTAGTCACCAAATCAGTCATAATGCATAACACTACTCAAAGAAGCTAATGAGAGTCTAAGCTGAACATGAGGTGCTGTATTAGTAAGTGCCTGGTTTTGATTAGTAAAGCCTTTCATCCTGCTAAATGGTGCATGTAAGGCAAAGGACCAGATTAATTTTAGATCCCAGTTGAGCTTGGAAGACTGAACTGAGCTGATCCGATGAACAGCCGATAAACATAGACAGTCACAATGTCATTTTAACAGGATCTGTATGAAAATGAAATGTTCTTTTCCTTGAATGGCTGCCTACAGCTCATCACCAGAAATACAACTTCAGTTTTATTTTTCATTTCACGCACCAAAGTCAAGAATGCATGCTTTAAATGAGAAGCTGTACAAATAAATTCATAACATTAACATGATGCAGTATGTCATTAAAAAAAGATAAGAAATAAGGTTTGGGAATAACGTGAACCGCTTGATTTTTACTTGACTATTACTTAAGAACTTCAAATGTGATCTGTGTTAATGAAAACCACCCTACATGAAACAATGACATAAAGTAAGGGTTCTGTGCCTCTTTATCAGCATAGTAACAGCAGAAAATGCATACCACCCATTGACTGATCTCACATCACAATATTTTGATTACTATTAATTGTCACATGCCTCAATAATTTTTAGGACTCTGGTACATCAGTCCTGCTCCCACTGCGATTGGTGACAGAACTAAGCCTTCCATAGTTTTCAGTAATTACAAAATGTAGCCTTAAATGGTGAATGTAGAAACAAGGATATGTGGTTATTTACTGAGCTCTGTGTGTGGTTACAGTAGCAAAGTCCCTTGGTCTTTAGTCAAACAAATTTCTTATCCCCATTAATTTGGGTTACGTGAGAAACAAGGTTTAGCTATTCTACATTTAGAAATAAAGGATTCCTATTTAGAAGAAGGGTGAAGGGGATGATTTTGTTTGTAAAACTCTCTGCTAGGAGATCCAAACAGGATTATAGTTTCCGCATTTGTCGTTTTACACTTTTGGCTGATGCTGGTAGCTCTCTTCCTATTGTGTTTTACACATTTTATTCTTAACAGCGGGAGTCAAACACTGCTTTCAATGCTCTGCTGACTGTCTTTCTCATCCCCTTGGTACTTTTTCAGACCTGCAGCTCCCAGTTGTCACCCCAGAATGCCCTGGCCGGCCTGGGCTGCCAAGGCCCAGCACCGCAAGCAACGTGTCCCAGGGCAGCGAGAGCACTGACAGGACACGTACAGCCCATCTGCGGCACTGGTGGAAGCAGAGCACGAGCATGCTGCTGTAAGCTGATGGTACCCCACCCTCAGAAACTGCCAGCGCTTTGTCGTGCAGTTAGCAGGGAGTCAGGCACACAGAATGTAGCAACAGAGAGCACAGCAGATGGAGCACTTGGATGTATTGCATCTCTTGTGTTGTACAATGTTTGCGTCTGTAGTAGCCACACTTGCATGTGTTTTGTGTGTGAACAGCTAAGTCTCTATGCTGGGGGCATTGAAACACCTAGACAGATAAATACAGATTCAGAGACACCCCTGAACGTTTAGGTCTCATGGTGGCTGGGCTATTTCCTGCTCCCATCCCTGCCTTGCCCCTGCCACAGACACATAGATGTAGTCCTTTGCACAGCGACCCTCCCTTAAGTGAAGGACCAAGAAGTACTTGAGAACTGGCTGTCCAAATGCTGTTTACTATGTTATGGTATCTCACAAATTTTATGCTTTGAGGACCTACTATTCTGCAGATGGAAATAAAAGGTCTCTTTAAGTCTTGAGATTATTAGACTTGATATTATTAGATAGCACAACTGAGGTCCAGAAAGGCCACATATTGCCAGAGATTACACAGAAGTGGGTGGAGAGCCCTGTGTCTTTTACCAGTAGTCAGTGTCAGAGACCCATATGCCCAAGAATAGATCAGATTTCTCCAAGTAATGAGCTTTTAAATAAAAGATTTTCCCTTGTTTGTTTTGTTGTTGTGGTTTTGGTGGACTTTTTGGTTTGGTTTGATTTTTGTTGTTGTTGTTTATTTGGTGTTTGTGGTTTTGTTTTGGTTTTTTTTGGTGGGTGGTTTGGGTTTTTTTTCCTGTTTCTATGGCCACTTATTTTTGGTTGCACTGTAGGCCAGTATCTGGAGAGCTGTCACTTCCTAGACAAAGTTAGCTTGCATAATTCTGTTATGTTTAACTGATTTATCATGGGTTATTCCTAGGTGTCATAGTCTTTCATAATATTTGGAACTATAGTTTATGGATTTCATTAGGGAAAATATGCAGTATCACATGTTTGTGTCCCTTTTTTACATTGAAGAATATGCTAACAACAGTACAGTCTTTCCATAGGGTGTTTTGGTTTTTTTTTCTGAATTCACTACAAATTAGTGTTAAATCTGAGTACCTTGACTATGCAATCCTGATATTTAAGCTGCTTGTCTTTCTTTAATGTTTTTATCTTCACTCTGAATGTTCTGGGTTTGCAAAAATTACAATATGCCCACAATGCATTTACCCATATGTACTCTCAACCGTAACTCCCTTCTAACATAGTTACTTTCTATTTATGGAAATTAAGACTTAAAATACTGAAAGTAATAAAAAGACTTGACGTAAAGCTTTGTTCCAGCCTGCTTGTTTTCATCTACTGTGTTGCTTAACTCAGGGGAAAATAGGCGAATTTGCTATTTCCGGTAATTTCACTTTTCACTATTTTCTTCAAGCTTATTTTCCTCATTTGCAAAAGCACTTCATTAATGCTATGCATTTTTATTACTTTCCAGGAATCAGGAATCAGCTTCACCAGACCACAAGGACATCCTTAAAGCTCAAGACCTTTCTGTCATCATCAAAGCATATGTGCTTGTGACATCCTTAACACCTCTGCGGGCATTCATTCATTCAACCACCACTGTCTGGCAGCCAACCAAGAAGAAGCACTTTACTGTAAAGGTACAATGTTTCATTTCTGAATTTTTCCATCTTTCAGGCAAAGTAGAGAGAAAGAAAAACAGATAAAATCTTTTGTCTCTTTTACCTCTTCTTTATTTGCAGTTCACAGCTGACAGTGAATATTCTCCTCATCTACAGCTTTCATTTCTCAGAACGAATGGGGTATGCTTCATGAAGCAGGGAAGAGTTGCCCTGTGCAGGGGGGTTATGAAGGGCCCTGGGATTTGCTTGCCTTGGAGCCCATTCTTATTGGTGACGTTTGACAGCAGTTGCAAGGTTGGAGTTTTCTCTTAAACGTGGCAGTGGGGGTGCTGTCATGCAGTAAGGTCTTTTGCCCGGATATTGACAATGTTGTAAGAAACGAAAGTTGTTATTTAAAATAGTTTGTTTAGATTTCTTTTTTAGGTGCAGTAGACCAGAATGGAGGAGGGTCAGGGCCCTTCTAAATAAGGGGAAGTATACCATGGAGAGGATAGGCCTCCCATGGTCTCAATTATATGGAAAAGGATATTTTACATGTGCCTTAATTGGATTAACAGTGGACATCTCCTAGTGCCTGGAGAGACTTCTCTTTCTCCATGTCTAATTTGATGAGAAGTCCTGTGGATTTCCAAACATGCCTTCCCATTCCTTGGTTCTTTCAGCAAGGAACTGTGCTTGCAACAGGGCAGCTCTTCATGAAGGAACCACAGTTCATCTTCTTCTTTCCTTTTGAAGGACTAAGGTCTCAAAGTATAAGTGGTTTCTTGAGGTCATATAGTTCAGCTCCTGCAGCAGCCGTCTGAGGATGGGTGCACTTTGACCATGCCTCATTTCCTTTTGGGGTAGGAGCAGATCTTGGCTTTGGATCAGTCTTAGTGTTGTGGTGTCACTGCCAGGACTCCTGATGATGCTAGCCATTTGGTATGTTCTACAGTTTTAGCTCTCTCAAAGTTAAATGCCTAGTCTAAGCTCATTATCTAATTCTAGTTATTGGAGAAACAGATACCTCTAGAGGTCAAATCATCCCTCCCAATTTAGACACTAATTTTGGAATGAGATGAGTTTCCTGCTACAGGTGTCTGCTTCCTTCTGTAGGCTATGACATTGTTAGCAAACATGCCCAATTCTAGATTGCAAAATTAGGTGAGATGAACCTACTTCTCTTTCTTATCCCCTCAGAAGCTATGGAAGCCCACAGAGGTATATTATGTTGCCATCTATTTTCCTCTATTTACATTTAGGAAGACTAATGGTCACTCATTTTCAAACCTTGGGGTTCAGTTTTGTTTTGTTTATTAAAATATCATAATGTCCAGCAGCATTGCTATCGCAGCTGAAGTAAGGACTACTTTAAAGGCTAGTAGTCACCAGTAATTGCTATATGGCCCTGTAAAATAATTCCCACTGAGGGAAGACTGCTGAACAGGGTGCCAGCCACCATTTACAGAGCACTTTGGCAGCTGAAGAAGCAATAAAAATGATAGATTGAAGCAGCAGCACATCTACAGTAGTTCCAACCTGGTTACCTCTGCTGTGATGTTATATCTTCCACAGCTTTAGGCAGACTTGTCAAAATGGTAAGAAATAAACAACAAATAGGCACCACAGAAAGCACGTTTTTAGTGGTTTATAGATTGAAATGCAAATTAACAAAATGATAGAAAGTGGAGTGTATAAGACTGACTCTCAACATGAACAGTGTTTCCTATAAAGAACCTGGAGGAGTCAGGGAGTCTCTACAAGAAGTGAGAGACTGGGAAATCATGGAGTGGCCAGAGAGCACTACTGGGAAAATCACAAAGAGGCTTCTGTGCTTGGTGCAGAGGCATCAGACAGGAGATCATTAGTCAGAAAACAATACCTAGGAGAAGGTTTGAATTCAACTGTTGATGTCACTTGGGATGAGATTACATCAAGTTTCTCATAAACTTCATGGAGCTGTCAGTTGTTGCCAGTGGGATGTACACTGCTAGCAAAGTGATCTCCCCTCCCAAGGTAGTCAGTGGAGCTACACGTTTCTACCAGCCAAGGAACCTGGTCCACTAAGCTCCTAAGCTTTCAGTTTATACCAGCTCTATTGCACAGGAAGGAAAATTGCTGGTTACTTCGTGAAGTTCCAACCTGTCCATAGTCAACACAGACCGAAAGATCTCTAAGACCTGTTCTTGCACTGATTGGAATACCCATTGGTGTCACTGGGGCCTGAATATCCCTGTAGAGGAGACTTTGGTCTGGAAAAAATTGCTGGTGTTTGATGTGTTTTCCCCAAGAGTGGCTGACTGACTTATTTTTAATTAACAGATGAGAATAATTTTCATAATTGTTATTAATAATTTGAATCTGCTATTGCCATCATAGATGTCCTGCTTTCAGTAAGGTTGAGCAATAATTTAGAGACCTCTGGTCAGCAAAGTTTCTCATACCAGTATACTTAAACTGTTGTCAGTAAGAAATTTATCTACAGTTGTGTTTAACTTGGTTACAACATGGCTATCACAAACTCAGCACGTTAAGTTTAAAAGGTGATCCCCTTTGTACAACAACCCTTTATGGCTGCTAGAAGTGAACAGAATGTGGCATATATGCAGGAGAGATTTTTAAAAAGACCGGAGATGGGGTACCAGATGCTATCAAATGATTGAGAGAAACTGTAAAGAAAAATCGGGAGTTTAATTAATTCAATAATACTGCGTTCTTCACTCTTTGTTAGTAAATTGTTGTAAATTACTTTTACAACTCATATTTACTCATCCTAATCATAGTGGCAAGGCTTCAGGATGACTCCTCGAATAAGCATTGGCCAAACAGCAGTTCAGGAAGAGTTCAAGGGTGTTTTGCTCACCAGCTGCCAGGTTTTCTCTGGATTATACATATTTTAGTATCACAGTTCAGAAAGCAAAAGAAGGTAAATCCTGAGCTGGCATGAAGATTTTGTGTGTAGTCAAGGGGTGACAAAAGTGCAACTCTAGATTCAGGCCCTGGTTGGGAAGATGCAGGGGAGAGAATGGCTTTCTGCCACATGAATGTTTTGATATGAGACTTGCGTAATAGCCTTATTTCCTTCAGGAAATTTGGAAACCCTTTATTTAGACCATCTGTGTGTTGAAAAATTAATAATAAAATAGAAGCTTTCTATTTTGCATATGGTACCAATTAAGGGCTGGGTCTGTGTCAATGTATGCAATAATTTCCTTCATGTTGATTGACGTTATGCTTGTGTAGCGAGCAGAAGGCTGACACCTGAATAATTTTCTGGTTTATAGAAGTTGATGTGCAGAACAGTCATTTATGATTAATTATCCGAAGGTTTAACACACTGGGAAGTTCTTCCTTTGCCCTGCCAATAACCTTTCCCATCCTGGTCCCAATTCTTAACTATGGGATGCACTTTCATGGGCTGTAGCGGTGCCATGTCCTGCCTCACCTGGGAAGGCTCTGCTGTGCTGCTGGCAGCTTTGCACAGCCCCCATTCTGGCTCTCCGTCCCTTCGCTCCTCCAAAATAGACAGTCAGGTGCCTCCTGGATTTGAATTCCTGAACTGATGGTCTAGCATAACCCTCGATACCCTCAGCTGAAACTATGGCTTTAAGTGATTTTCCAGTTGTGCAGTGAAGTAAACATAATTTATTAAAGCAGTTTGCTGTTAAGCTTGCTGTGGTATAAGTCACTATAACTGTCGCTGAAATGCTCTCTCTCTGTATTAAGCATTTGGAAACTTGAGTAAAGGGATATATTTTCTATACTTAACGTATTTGTAAATAAAACTGGACCCTCACCTACCTAGGAAACACATCTTTTCATGTGTCATGGAGGCCTGACTTAAAGCCGAACACCGTGACAATTAGGTTGCAGTATTGCCCTCAAGTGGCCGGTTTTGATACTACTTCAACTAATTGCCGCAGATCCTTAGTGTGAGATGGAATGCAAACATGCAGGTAGATAAAGATCAAAATGCTTAGAAACAGAAGAAAGGCTCAGAATTTTTTCTCTTTGTTTTATTTTTGAATTCCATATTCTTTCACTGCAGCTTAGCAGGAGCAAATACAAAAGACAATTACCATCAACTCTTAATCAATTAGATTGCAGGGTTATTGGGGAATAAAATTAAATTTGTTCATTAGGTTCTGTAAGAACTTAGCATATGCATTTCACTGATCCTGCAAGTAGCCTGTGTAGAGAATCAAATGCTGTACAGCTCCTCTTCCTGGGAGAGTGAGCATAACAAAAATGCCATCTCTCATTTCTGTCCTCATAGTACCTACAGTCCTATCATTTCTCTTTTCACTGATGTAAGAACGAAAGTCTGTCTGGACTGGGGGAGATCAAAGACATGCTCAGCCTGACATTCTGTTTCTGGCAACAACCAGGCAAGAAAGCATCATGAAACTGTGTAACAGGACAAGCATAAAGTGGTACTTGTCCCTAGGCAGACTATAGCTATTTCTGGTAACCTGCAAGGTTAGTAACTCAAAACTGGAAGTGAAATATAAATCTTTATTTTTAATAAGGTCCAGTGGACTTTATGCCATGCAGCTCTCTGCTATATTTTTTAACCAATTAATGCTTTTTGTCTCCTCAACATCTTGAGGCAATGAGATGCTACAGATTATTTGTGTTGCTTAAGAAAGAATATTTGTTTGCTTTAAAACTTCTACCTGATTACTTAATTTTATATCCCTAATTCTTGTCTTAAGAGAAAGAATGAGTAATACTTGCTTCTTTCCCTTCTCCATGTCTGTGCCAGTCTCTCATGCAGTGCACAAATAAAGTTAAGATTTTTCCTTGAGTTCTTTTTGTCTCTCCTCATTATGAACATTCCAGTTTAGGTGGTAAGAGCTTTAGACCAACTATTCTTTATAACGTGGATATGTCATAACTAAGTCTCTAAACTGTTAACCAGGCCCTGGGCCCTCTGCTTTTCTCGGGGTCCATAGATCCTCTTGCTCTGGCTGTTCAATCCAGGCAGCTCTGTAAGCATGCCCTTCTGTGCCTCCTAACTTTCCCAGACCTACCTCCCA